GACCTCACAACCACTTGCTTGTCGAAAAAGTAGAAACGGACAGTTTTAAAGTTTATGTTTGAGACCTCTCGTTCTTCGATCAAGTTCTGTGTAGGTTTATTTGTAAGTGCTCTATTTAACGCACCAAAAATTAAAAAAAAAATCAATATTACAAAAAAGGAATAATGCAAAAATGATGGAAAAATAAACACATAAAGCTTATGGGATCCATTTTGCTATTAGCTTTGAGACTCGTACGTTATTGAAATTTTACCAACGTTAATTTAGTTGCTATCACATGAATATCTACACGTTTATATAGCATTCAATTTACATATGTGTAACACAATCGGTTTTAAAACATAGGCCATGTCCCTCATTGTATTGTTTGAGTGACTGTTAGAAGGCTTAAATCAATATGAAGATCAAGAGAATTAAAACCCAAAGGTCCCGAAACATTGTGAAAAATACGGTATAGGCAAGAAAGTAGACAATATTAGAGCAGAACATATTAGATACATATTCGCTATCATGATATATGCATATAAACAGCTATTACTAGCGTAAACCATTGTTAAGATTTTCCTATTGAATACAAATGATCAAATATATAGTGTCCTACTTAAAGGGGCATTAGCTGTCAAATTCATGTTCATCAACGTGACTCAAATTCTCATATTTGATTTATAACTTACTAAAACGTATATCCAAATTATAAAAAAGTCTAAAATAAACAATCTACAATGCATGGGCTCGATAATATGTATCATAATTTCGTATGTATTTTAGTCTAGACGCCATCTAATTTATTAATGAGATGACCTCCGAAGACTACCGATGGTCACATAACACGACATAAACATAAACATAAATATAAATAGATAGCGACCTCGTGCAATTGTATTTTTCTAGGTCTGTTTGATTTCATGATATAGGTTGAAAATAAGTTAATTATCGTTTTTACCTGTATAGTATTAAGAAGGATTTTTTTGTGGATCGAATCAGTCCACGAAATGGTTCACCTTTGTTTCACTTTCAATGTTGACATTCTTTCCTTTTAATGACTGAACACGACTAATACATGCGCATCCAATCTCTAGCTAATTGGTTAAATTGAAGATCACATGAATACAGATTCAATGAGGTCGAATTATTCACTTGCAAGTGAATAATTCATCACCGATGCTTCTTTGCTTATTTTGACAAAATCGAACCAAATTGGCTGCTAAAAGCGAATTTTTATTTCATTATTTCACTTTTATTAATGATTGAAACCAGCAAAATCATATTCTAATTTTTTTTATATTTTGTAGCTAATGCCCCTTTAACATGTTTAAGAGTTTTAAAATAAAACACATATAAACACGGAAGTATTTGATAGGGCAATAGGGCATTTAACAATTCCATTGTTCATATTGTTGATTTCCGGTTTCCTTGACATTATTGACAGGAATTGATTTGAAGTTTTTTTTTATTTAAATAGAAAAATAATAAAAAAATGTGAATTGATTTTATTAGTGTCCATCAATTTTTAATACTACAACCATGCATTAGATCTTTTTTTGTGGAAAAATATGTTAACATTTCTCAGGCAAGTAACTGTTTACAACCCTTATAAAGCTCATTTATTGTATGATCATTTTGTTCTAATTTTGCATTCAATAATACAAACATCACATCGTATTTATCGAGAAAAAATGATGCAGGTTCACCCAGATCAGTGCTAAATACCGAAATGAGATACTGTTGTCAAGGAGGCGCTACTAAATAAACAGTACATAAAGTTATAAATGTCTAAAATTTACTCCAGTTATGTTGAAAACAAGGAAAACGATAAGAATCTAAATGATATCCCAAAGGATTTTAGAACCAAATGCTGTATAGTTGTTTCTTTTAATTTTGACAATACAACAGTAAATTGACGGCATTTAAGGCTGTATATGTGCAATAGAAGAGAGGCGAAAAATACCAGAGGGACATTCAAACTCACAAGTCGAAAACAAACTGACAACGCCATGGCCAGAAAATAAAAAGACCAACAGACAAACAACAGATCACAAAACACATCATAGAAAACTAAAGACAACCCCGTTTATAAGTCTAATTCGGTAGGTCACATTCGGGAAAAGGGGACGGGATTATAGATACGACATTAGGAACATATCCGCTATCATCTATGAAACGGATATTCCATAACGGTCAACCAACTCATGATGGCGTCCGTAAAACATACGAAGGGATCATTTGAACTTCACCATTTGGAACTCTTGGTTTAATAGCTTCCTTGTGAGCAGCAACCCTCTATCAAGGAAATCATGATAGGAAATACAAGCCCTTGAATATTGTATCAACTGGGAGATATATATTCCTTATGCAGGCGCTGCTGGAATGTTGATACAAGGAAATGGAAAGTTCACAATTGGGAACCTGAGATAATCTCTTTTGTCGTAACGTTTTGTTTTTAACCGACCCACATTGTCAATTGCTAGATGTAAGTCAGGATATGAGGTAGACTTATCTGTATCTGTTGATTCCTTTTTTAGGTTTGATGGGATAGTTGCGTTCAACATAGTCACCAAATTTTGAATTATTTAGTGAGGGAACATCATCTTTATACACGATATAGCGGAAAGTAAAGTTAAAGGATATTGTTAACTTCTTTTCTTTATTCCTAAGAAAAGTCTGTATCAAATCAGCTTCATATGAATAAAGGAACAAGTCGGCCAGAAGAGGAGCACAGTTTGTTTCCATGGGAATGCCGATTGTTTTTTGAAAAACGCGTCCTCCAAATGTAACAAATGCATTGTCAATAAAAAAAAAGCATCTAGATAATGTCAATTTCAGAGAACTTTTAGTTTGAATCGGAGTGATTTTTACTAAGTAGGATGTATCACTCCCTCTGAAAAGATACTTGTAACTACGTTGGCCATTATTTTTTATAAAGCAAAACAGGACCAACTCTTTAAATTTAGTTTGTATGGGGAATACTTGTGTAAAGTGTAGAAAAGTCTAATCTTTTAATATTATTTCAAGATGAAAGAGTCTTAGATTGTTTTTACTCAAAAATATCTTTGGATTTTTTTAGTATTCATGTCTGGCTCACACCACCCTTAGAATAGGTAGTTTCACAATAACTTTGAAGCCCAGCTTGGATTGCCGAATAAATTTGTGTCAATAATTTAGAAAGAGGTTTCGTGGAGCACTTGGATGACCCAGCTATATACCGTTGTTTGAAAGTACACTTATGTAGTTTTGGTATCCAATACAGTGATGGGAGATCCAGTTCTTCATCTTTGGTTGAAATTCCGGAAGGAACATAGAACTGAACCTATGACTATCCAGGATTTCCTTTTTAGTAAGTGTCTTTGGGTATATATTGAGTTTCCAAGTGAATTGTCAATACTTAATTCATTTATCAACAGTTTATGTAATTTACACACAAAAACGATGTTGTTTGGAGCTTTATCTGCGGGTACAACAACATATTTGTTATGGAGGTAGGTAAAGTGTTTTGCAACGTTTGGGGTGTCAAATGTTATTTTCAATGGTATCTATCTATGTTTCGCGCAACAAATTATGTCTTAAAACCTAGACAGAACAAAATCTAAAGATAGTTAGATTGATGAGAAACAGGATTCCATTGATAACAAATAAATGCTTTCAAAGATGTTGTCTTCCATTAAAGTAATTTCATATTGATACCCGATTAAGATTTACCTACAACACTTAATCGTTACTAAAATATAGAAAATAATAAAAACAACCATTGTAAATTACTTGCATTTAGGTATGACAGGCCAGTATTTACAAGCCATGCTTCTTACAGTGGCAGTTGCAGGTTAGATTGTTTTATTAAATAATTTATAAGGTAAAACATTCCTCTATGTTAAACAATTCATAATTTTTCTGCATGGAAAGGAAAATATAATATTAACAATTTAACATCATATATCTCATTATTATCATTATCTTCTTTCCCAGGTTAATTAACTAAAGTATATATAATCTCGATGCAGGTTTAACGAATAAAACAAGTAAACAATTTAATTATCTCATGTTTTAAATATTACATTCAGTAGCAAAATGAACCATTTAAATAAGATCTTGTCTTATGAGACATATAAATTTAGCAATAATTAGAACGTTACATGTATTATAACACATCGACTTATTGTCCAGAGAGTTTTCCTGATAAAAATGTTGATAGTTTACAATTAAAGAATTTGAATACTAGTACCTATTCCTTCATGTATCTTATTAAAATAAGATAAATTACTTTCAATTAAAAATTGAATGCTTCTTTTTGTAAATTCATTGGGGTGTAAACGCGTTGACCGAAGTACATGAAAATGTACGCACGGTCAACGCTTTTACAACCCTATGAAATTACTAAAAGAAGCATTCAATACTTATAATTACATTTTTTTTCGCTATGATCATGAAAACACGATTACTATCATTTTTTTTCTTTTATTTACCTGTGCACTTTATTGTATAAACGTGTGTCATCATGTATGTTACAATTCATGAAATTCATTTTGAAAGAGATTGCTGTTAGCCAATCAAAATAACGTATAATAATGAAACATACATCTAATGTAATTATTTACTTTTTAACTTTTTTCAACAGGATTTACTACCGATGCAGATTGTCCAAATTATTTTCGGGGTAAAGTAGTCTGTAATTACAAATCTAACATTAAGAAATTCAATAGCAGTGTTACATTAGTGGACCATTAAAAACCTAACAAGAAAGAACTTACATTTGTTTAAATAAATAACATAAGTAATAAAGTAAGACACAATTCATATGATGCCTTTCATATTGATAAAACATTGATTGTATATTTTATAGTTTGGTAAAAGTCAATTGCATCCTAATTCTAAAATATCAAATAATTATATTGGGCAATTCATTGTTTTTTAAACTGCATGTACAATTTGTACAATACTCTTGTGCAAAGCGCTTTGAAAACAGATTATTATTTAAGCCTGATATTAATGAAATTGACACACAGGTGACGACCAGGACAAATCTTATAGGAACAGTTGTGAATCGTGATTTGGAATTTGAATTATGCATAAAAACATAAGGTAAGGATAAGCATAAAAAGGTATATTCATGCTTGAGTAGAATGTTTTTTGTTCTTGTCGCACCTTTGAAATTTAATTTACTTGATATAGGTCAAATGCCCTGTAAAAAGACTCGACATGCATTGGTTGTGAAAGCTGGTTATAGTTTGATATTAAACTGTACTTGCTTTGACAAGACCAATGGCAAATGGACTGGTCCAAGTAAGACATCTTCATCGGCTGCTGACCATTACATGCCATACACTCTTGGAACAGATTTGAACCCAAGCTTACAGAAGTCAAAATACATGATTTTTGGTGGATACGATGTTAAAAAATGCAATTTAAAGATTACTAACTTCATGTCAGATGACGATGGGACATACATGTGTCAGTATATCAATTCATCAACAATTTACATAGATGTATACAACGTAGTTGCAACAAGTAAGTTAAATTTGCATACCATTTATTTTCTTACAAATTACATGTATCTGCAATTAATTTAAATAGACGCTAAGAGTACAATTGGTTAACGATATTGGACAACTATGGATAAAAATGACATTCGGAAAATAATACACAAACGATCGTAAAACCAGATGAAATTCACCAAATAGACAGGATTGACAAAGAAAAATAGTATGTTCATAAGGCATCACCCAATGTTCATAGTAAAGTAAACCGCATCAAAGTTAGCAGGCTTACAATTTAACTAAGATAGTGAGTCACACTCATTAGTTGTAAAAATTGGAAACACTCATCACGATACCATGCTGATACTTTTGTACGTTTCGTCTACACACGACTCATCAGTGGTGCTTGAATTAAAACAACTGGTAGGTCAAATTGAATACGAAGTTGTAGAGGTTTGAATACAAAACAAATCCGAAAATATGTGCCACATACAGCAAAGGAAATATATACCTAGATGTAGAAAAAACCTGTGTTTCGAATATTTCAACACTATATCAATACTAAATTACCGAAAATGAACAGGAATGATGTGAGGGAATTTTTAAATACCACTTCCGGTCTGTGTTTTTATTAGATGTTTTCTGCTTTATATCGATTTGATGAGTTAAGCCCTTGTCATTTATGTTTGCTCTATATTAAGCTGTAACAACACTCTCCCAGGTTAGGGGGAGTGTTGAGCACTCACAAGCATGTTTAACCCAGCGACATTCTTCATTGCCTGTCCTCCCAAGTCAGGAATATGTATTTCAGTGGTTGTCGTTGGTTGATGTCTGTCATATGTGTTTTTTTTTAATAGTTTTATAAACACATGATAAACTAGGTCGTTAGTTTTCTCAATTGAATTATTTCAAATTTTTCATGTCGAGATTTTCTATAAGCGACTACGCAGTAATGATTTTTTTCATTTGTTGAAGGTAGTATGGTTGCCAATAACTGCTTACATCCACTTTATTTGAACTTTGTCTTATTGGCATTCATACCACATTTCCTTATTTTTATATTTATCAGAGATGTATGGCATGTCAATAGATGGGTAACATATGATTACGGTGAATTGCGATACACTCATTTATTAATAATTTACAACAAATTGAGATTGCGACAGTGCAATATATGTCCTGAAAGTATCATTACAGGTTTAATACAAGTATCCTTTCATATTCTGGTATTATCATAATTATTAGATGATTGACAACTTCTATGAAATAAGCCTCCAACAGCACCTGCTTATTCAGTCCATAGTTGCCAATTGAAACGATATCTACGCTTTGTACAGTAGGCACTCCCACGATGACCTTGCCAATTGCTGATGAAAGACTCGATGGACGCCACTAGATAAGCAGGAATAATGTTCTTGCCTCTGGTGATCGGTTGGAATTGTGTTTGTCAATATTTCGTTCTCTGTGTATGATTTTGAATTGTTTTTTGTATAACTGTTTTTTTTACTAAGATCGTAGTATTGTTTGTCTTTTCTTTCGGTTTTCACTGTGAATTTATTTTTCATTAGTGTTATCTGAGCCACAATTGATTTTCAATATGCTTGGTTTTCTGCAGAACATTTTTAGATGCATCCATATAATATAATGATAGATAGAATATGAAAACAGATATGTAAAGTTAACGTTTTGAATTAAATGTACACATATGTTGTGTGCAACTCGACGGGTGCAGTATGTGGAGCAGGATATGTTTATTCCCCTGGAGCACCTGAGATCAACCCTTTTTTTCGAGGGGTTCGTGTTGCACTGTCTCCTGTTTTCCACGTTTTGTTGTGTGTACTGTTCTTTGTGTTTTGGTCTTTTCTTTTTTTGCCATGAAGTTGTCAGTTTATTTCCGACTTATGAGTTTTTATGTCCGTTTGGTATTATGTCTCAATTTTCTAGAATTTCAGCTCTTTTGTATTCGTTCATTATCACTCAAAGCTAAGAAGAGATATTTTCAATCAAATCGCTTCCTACGCAATGTTTTCGTATATTGCAACATTTGTTTTAACAAATATTGTATGATAAACTCGAAAATATTTTGAAATTTTCTCAAAAACTTCGCGAAAAAAGAAAGGAAAATTTTAAATTCAGAAATTTTATAAAAACTGATTTACCGATTTACTGATTGTTTCTTTTGGCTTTCATGTGATTCCCAATCGTTTTGTTTGTTACATCGAGTAAATCTTCTCAATCGATTAATCAGATTTCAATATTGTTAAACTAATGATTTCTAAATTTATCTGTTGAAATATCAAGACAAACATATATATATTTTTTTTCGTTGCCTCTATATTCAGATCATCCTGAACCTCCTGCACATGTGTCAGCCGTATTGAATTATACCACTATCGTGGTTTATTGGCAGCCTGGATTTAACGGAGGGAATCCCCAAAGGTTTTGTATTGAGTATAGACCTGAAACAAAATCAGAATGGGAAGTTGTAGGGTCCATAGCGCAATCAATGTTCACAGTGGACCAAGAGTTGAAGTTCACAATTAATCATATCCTATATGCGAAAAAGTATTATCTACGGATGTTTGCTAGAACTCATGTTGGACAAAGTAATTACTCAAACATCTGTATTGTAGAGATGGAAGGTAGGCATACAACGTTTCCTTTGGTTGCATATTTTTACAGAGATATATTAAAGTCGATCGACTATATATATAGCAGGACATTTATTTGTTTAAGCATTTGTTTTACATAAAAAAAAATCCTGTTGTTGTCATTTTGTTGAAAACAACGTTCAAACCTATGATTGCGTTGGATAAAAACCGCAATTTTCATACGTGTGCATGTAAAACAAATGTCTTGGTAGTGGGTCTAAATACAGCACAAACAACATTTTCCAAAAGACCAAAAGAGTGAAAAAGTATATTTTAACAAAACGCATTTGACTAACAGGTCGAACAACGGATGTTCTTAAACCCTGCTGACTGCTATTGGCGATTGCCAAATAAATTGATCACCAGATTTAACAAAATGCATCTTAATATTAATTTAATACCAAACAGAAAACAATAAACTTGCGGAAAGATGGTATTCCACAAACTTGAGGTGCAAAAATTTGTACACCATATCCGGATTTGGACAATTAATGTCTCTTCAGTGATGTTAGGGATCGAAACAGTATTTTAAAGCCATATAATTTACCTCAATTTAGGATAGACTCTTGAATTTTAAAGAGTCGATATAGGATGAACGGATCATATAAACCCTAAGGAAAATATAATACAAGCCCAAACGAAAAAATATAAACAAGTCTAAATTGAAAACAACGTTCAAACCTATGATTGCGTCGGATAAAACAAATGTCTTGGTAGTGGGTCTAAATACAGCACAAACAACATTTTCCAAAAGACCAAAAGAGTGAAAAAGTATATTTTAACAAAACGCATTTGACTAACAGGTCGAACAACGGATGTTCTTAAACCCTGCTGACTGCTATTGGCGATTGCCAAATAAATTGATCACCAGATTTAACAAAATGCATCTTAATATTAATTTAATACCAAACAGAAAACAATAAACTTGCGGAAAGATGGTATTCCACAAACTTGAGGTGCAAAAATTTGTACACCATATCCGGATTTGGACAATTAATGTCTCTTCAGTGATGTTAGGGATCGAAACAGTATTTTAAAGCCATATAATTTACCTCAATTTAGGATAGACTCTTGAATTTTAAAGAGTCGATATAGGATGAACGGATCATATAAACCCTAAGGAAAATATAATACAAGCCCAAACGAAAAAATATAAACAAGTCTAAATTGAAAACAACGTTCAAACCTATGATTGCGTCGGATAAAAACCGCAATTTTCATACGTGTGCATGCAAAACAAATTTCTTGGTAGAGGGGTCTAAATACAGCACAAACAACATTTTCCAAAAAGACCAAAAAGTGAAAAAGTATATTTTAACAAAACGCAGTTGACCAACAGGTCGAACAACTGATGTTCTTAAACCCTGCTGAATGCCATGGCGATTGCCAAATAATATATATATATATATATAATTTGTAAGATACTCTATGATAGATAATTTAGCTGATCGGTAATATTCCATCTTCATGCCTTATATATCATGTACAGTGTTACGATGCTAGATAAAAACTGACGAGGAAAGGTAACATACGGCCACCGAAAGCTTGATTGTTATCAAGCCTAGGTGGTCGAGTGGTCTAGCGCGCCGGGCATAATGCAAGGCGATTTGGTGCCACGATATCTCAGTAGCATGAGTTCGAATCCCGGCCAGTGAAGAATAAAAATTTGCTTCCGCAAATTTACAGACTTACATATACATAACTACTCTAAATATCAGCACACCAATGTTAGATTCAACAATCTATGAAATATTGTAATCTAAAAACTAAACTTATGGAAAAAGATCCCGTAATATTTTGACAAATATTATTCATTATAGTAAGAGATCTTAAAATTCAGCTAATATTGTAACGAAACAATTTTTCGATGAACATTATTCATGACATTAATATACGTGCATACGCTTTTTTATGAATTTACATAGCCAAAAGTTTGTAGTCTAGTTGTCTGCCATTGTCATGATTTCCCTTCTTGAAATATTGTTAGCTTAAAAAACACCGAATTTGTTTTCTCATCGTAATTATTTCACCTGTGTAAACCTAGAACCTTTCATTACTTACCGTACCGTATAGTTACGCAATTGTTAAAAGCCTTGCGACGACCTGCACTTGTTTATAGCGTGTTTCTGTGTTCTGTAATTAATGTTTGATGGTTAGTGGTTAATCAATTGAAATCATATTAGATTTCCATATTATTATGATAATGGTTTGTCTTAATTAGAATTATATAACACTTCTTTTGTCTTTAGTTTGAGCGGAATGATTAATTGTTTATTTTAAAAGACAGTTAGTTATGATCAAACGTTTCTGTGTTCATTGTTGATTATAAATTGTTATCATTATAGACTGTAGCTGCAACTCCGAGAAATATACTAATCATATCTGGCAGATAACAAGTAGTTTGTTAGGAGGAAGTCTTATTTTCACAATTTGTGTGAATATTTATTGCTTACTGACACGAAAAAAAACTGGAATGGTTGTAGAATTTCCACTTGAAGGTCAATATTATGAAATCGGATCCATCAATGATAGCAATGCGAGTATCCAAGGCATACCAAACCATATACAAGAAGTAGTAACTAGTTTCAATAGACCAGCTTCGCAAAGTACCAACAGTAATGCATCTTCTTTCCAAAACGTGCCCTCCTCGGAAAGTTCGGTACCCAGTCTATCAAATCTACTGCTGAATGAAGACGGATATGAAAATCCTTATCAGACAATTGACCATGAAAATATTGAATTGCATTCATATAGTATCATAACGTCAAATATGTATCAAAACACAACAATTTTTTATAAAAATATGCAAACTAACAAAATTGAGCATCCTATTCAAATCGATAGAAAAAGAGATCCTTGGCTAATTATTTACAACAAAAACTTTGTAAATGCATAAACAAGAGAACGTTTTTTGTTGTAAAGATCTCATTGCAGAAAATTAATACACTACTTCATTACCCTTGAAGGCATGGCCGTCTAGAACAGAACTGGTAGTAAATTAACTCGATGAACGTATGGGAATTATAAACATGGATCCAATTCCATTCTTGATGTACATGAAGCATTCGTTTAAACTCTCCTTTTTTTCCCTGATGTCTAAGTCATTCATTGACATTGTAATCAATATTTTTTTTAATGTGAATTTGTCAATAAGATACAATCAATAACTTTAGTATAGGAATGTAAATGATTTGTGTCGAATCGCTATATCAATACCAGAATGACAAAACTGGCTTGCTAGAAAAACAGACAAACAATAGTACACAAAACAACATAAAAGGCTAAGCAAAACGAACCCCACCAAAACTGGGGTTGATCTAAGGGGCTCCGGAAGGGTAGTCAGATCCTGCTCCACATGCGGCACCCGTCGATTTGCTTTTGTGAGTACAAACCCGGTAATACGCCTTATTCGGTAGGTCACATTCGGGGGAAGGGGACGACAATTTGAACATATCCGTCGTCATCTGTGAAATGGACATTCCATAACGGTCAGTGATAGAACATCATCTATATAGCGGAAAGTGAAGTTTAAGGATACTGCTTACTTCTTTTCTTTCTTCCTAAGAAGTTCCTGTATGAAGTCAGCCTCGTATGACTAAAGGAAGAAGTCGACAAGAAAAGCATCACAGTTGGTCCCATTGGGATTCCGATTGTTTGCTGAAAAACACGTCTTCCAAACGTAACAAATATGTAGTCAATAAAACAAATCCAGCATCTTGATAATGGCAGTTTCAGGGAATGTTTTTTATTGAATCAAAGTGATTTTTGACAAAGTACGATTTATCCCTCACTAAGACAAGAAAGTTGTATCTACATAAGCCTTTTTTATGAAATAAAGCATGATCAAGTCTTTCAATTTGTCTTTTAGTTTGAAATGGGGGAATACATGTAAAGTGTAGAAAAGTGAAATGTTCACTATTGCAAGATGAAAGAGTCTGAGATTGTATGTACTCTAAAAGGTCTTTGGATGTTTTAATACGCACATTTGATTCATGCCACCTCTAGAATAGGTATTTTCACAATAACGTTGAAGCCCGGCTTTGATTTCTGAGACAATGGATGCAAATAATTCAGAGAGAGTTTTCGTGGAACACGTGGAAGACCCAGCAATATAATGTTGTGGTTCTAATTTGATGGATTTATGCTCACGATATTTTGAGCCTTTAGATAACACATTTTGCAGAGAAGTGTTATTGACAATATTTAGGTCACCAGCAATAACGTGGATTATATTTGAATGGGGAACTATAACAGGTGCAAATAGGAGGGTTACACTTTGAAGTCGTCAATAATGATATCATGCAACACTTGTTTGTCATTGAAAATGTATGTTTCAATTGGTTAAGTATAGATATAAGAAATGATAGGTAAAGACTGACTTTAAAATAGTAGGGTAATTTCGATTGAACTGATTTATGATGAAGTATATTGCCTAAGTTGATGGCATCAGACCTTTGTTGGCGAAGAAAAGTTTTAAAAAGGATCTTTTCTCCTTTTCATCTTTTCCGATTCGAACTGGTTTAAAAAGTCTGGGACTTGCAATATCCGCGATGATAGCTGTAAGTTTTTATTGGTTTGAATGGGGGTTTGTAACAGTGTTTTTTAAACATAAGTTGTACAGAGATTGAAATTTTGAAAGGGATTATAAATATAACTTAGTGTGAATTTGATGAAGCTTTTGTTTTGTGTATTAATGGCAGCAGTTCATTAAAAGAGACATCGTGGAGAGAAGGTGATGTATAATGCCGACGACCATGACTGCGTCTACGTCGGTCGAGGAGTAAAAGTTGAAAATGTTTATTTTCACCGAGAAAGGACAAGATAGAATACCTATACTATCATTTTTTTTTCATTGCAACCGTATGGTGTCGCAGTTTCCAATTGTCGAATCCAGTACTCTTCTATTTGTCTACGCAGATGTGTTGCAAGATGAGGATTGTTAGTCCTGTGGTATATTTTTTCGATGATGCAAAACTGCATAGAAATGATTGAATGATCAGGCTGATTGAAATGTTAGTAAACAATGTCGCTTGCATTATTATTGATCTCTGATCTAAGCCTTCCTTTCGTTTCAACTACATAACCCAATCCGCAAACTCTAATCCGTAGATTTGTTGATTTACAAATTCAGTTCATCGTTGCTTCTGATAAAATAAGATTTTTTAGATAAATTGCCAGTGAAATAAGCATCTGTTATTCAAATTCTACAGATGTTGCAGCTACAGGTATAACATTTCGAAATGAGACAGTGTTGTTCAGAATCATTAAAATCCAAGATCAAAATCTTGTAGAAGAACTGAACACGGCCACGTACAAAGATTATTGCTGTTGTCATTAGTACATGTTGTATGATGATCTGAATTTGCCATGTTTTAGATATTTGTCATGTCTAATGAATAGGGGACACCTGCCGTATCAGACGATACCATGTCCATGGTGCCGTCTGTTTCGGACCATTTTATACTTGGCGATGTCCAAGCCATGATTCTATTCAGGTCATTATTTTTTTGTTTGAATGGATTCACATTTTGTCATGTCGAGACCTATGGGCTGTGCTATTTGTCGAAGGTCGCACGTCACCTGTAGTTGCTTAGATCCGCATCGTGTGGATTTGTATGGATAGTTGTCTCATTGGCAATCATATCACATCTCATTATTTTTTTATTTCATTACATAGCTCATTACTTACAACCAAGTCGAGAATTTAATAGTATCTATACTTTTCGATGTCATTCAATATAACATATGGTGTAGCATTCTCATGTTTTCATTGGATTTTACAATCACGTGTTTCAAAGGTTATTTCGTGTATCTGCAGCCTTGTTTCTATTTTTAGGTATAGTAAAGCTATGTTTCTACTCATATGTATATTGACGGTCAATATCAAAACTCTTGCTAAATTAAGACCCGGATATAAACCGTTCCGGTCCGAAATAATCCAACGTCATGACATCACACATTACAACCATGAAAGAAGCACTACAACAGACGAAAAGAAAATTTAAAAGTTTATCAAAAGGAGATAAAAAGTATTTGATGTTAAAAGCAGTCGCTAAGAATACAAGAAAGCTAACGCATTAGGCTGTTAAGTTGTTCAAAGAATATATCACGAAAAATGAACTAAATACAGACTTTGAAAAGTACGATGTTGAAACACTCAAGACAAAACACCAAGTTTTATGCAGAAATTCGTGACAAGAATGGCGAACTGTACAAAAAGACAACACTGACTGACGTTATATCGACAAGGCATTCAAGGACTCCAATGATGCCTATGACTAACTAGTATAACTGCTCAAATATTACATTCAATTATAACTTTGATGTTAAAAAGTACACTGAATTGAGTTCCATTTGTATTCTAATTTGTTCTTAGCAGAAATAAAACAAAATACGTTGTGTTTTGTTTACAACAGAACAAGTTCATCTTATTTATCAATTTTTTCAATGGCATATTAAAAGTCTTGAAAAATACAGCTTAAAAAAACACAGAAAGAACATTGAATTTCATTTTCTTAATACATTATTTACATATGTAATATATAAATTAAGGACTTTCACTTAATCAATACGTTAGATATGGACCGGTTAGATTATATTGACACTCGGACTTCGTCCTCGGTCGATATAATCTGAACAGGTTCATATATAACGTATTGACCTCATCAAAAGCCCATAATTGATAATTATTGTTCAAGAAGGATATTATGCATATCAAAACAATTTATAACTAAAATTTATATTTTCCTACAAATGACGTTATACAGATAGTACTAGCTTAGATTTGATGACACAGTTAACACAAGTATAGCAGGTTTGGAAATATAAAACACCAGTTTAATGGAATCTAAAATTGTCATACATGTACCTTAGTGAGATAAGGTTTGGTATCAATTCAGAGATCTCCACAAAAAAGCCTTGGTGTACAAGACTTTGTCATAATGATTAGTCAAAATGTAATCAGCAAAAAAAGGAATGGGAGTCAGAAAAGGAAGACAACGTTTTACCTTACAATGACCACAGAAAATAGAATATATGAAACGAGACACGCATAGTCTGCTGTTAGAGTAGATCAAGGGCGCAACTAATGACACCCTTCAAAAACCCAGTGAAATAAAAAGTAAACTAAACATAAAATTAAAAACATAATCATAATGTATAGTAAAGGTTAGATGTGTAGAAGGGCATATGCAAGCAGACAAAACGGTCGTATAATACCACGAGAAATTTTCAAACACAGTTGTTTTTTAAAAGATATTGTACATTTCGGAAAGTCAAAATTATTTAAATTCGACAATGAACATAAGATATCATTTTCAGTATCAAATTATGATTCATGAATCTTAACGAATCATCATACATGTATATGCATGGATACCACTGGTCAATCGCAGGCTTTCTCTATGCTTATTACAAATCTAAATTCTGAAAAAGCTTAATCTTTGCCCACTTTTGTTAAAAATCACATCTGCACAAACCAATATATATGTCCTTGAATAGAAGCGAAATATTGGGTATACATCAATGAGACAAAAGCTAAATAGCTACATTTTTCACTGGTTACGAATAAAAGTAACCTATATTGTACTATCAAAGTTTCTTTCTATTCTCAATCCTATTGTCAGATATTCATAGAATAACGTCAATTATATATATTTAACTGTAGACAACAACATAATACAAGTATTTTCTTTTAGATTAGAACACAAAATGGCAAAAAGTGTGGTGTTCTCTAACATTATTAACAAGACAATAACCGTTCAATGTCAGTAAGTTGTAAGCTTTCATTATGATTAAAGTAATAGAATGAGAGACGTCTATAATGGACAGAAAGTAACTTCCATGGAATGTTATGTATATGTAGCATGACACCAAGGAACCTAAATAATATACGCATTTACTTTCATTGCAATTATAAAAACGTCCAACATTTGAATATAGTTTACCTTTCTGTCAAATGAAAATTATTTACAATATATTATATGAACGCAGTTCTGATTCGATAAAATTGGCCTTGTTATAAAATATTATAGGACATTAAACAATATAATTGTTTGGAAGGTTATTTCCGTTTCCTTCACAATATTGATAGGACTATATTTGTA